CGGGCCACACTTTTGCGGAGACATCTATTTGTGGTCGTGTCTCTATAAAACCGGCACTCAAACAGGGAAAACCGGGCTTTGAAAACAAGCAAAACCGGTTTTCTCTATCGCAAACCGGTTTTCTCTGTCGCAAAACCGGTTTTGCACTGTGCAAAGCTGGTTTTGGGCTCAGAGGTCGGTTTTCGTGGCTCGCAGTCAGTTTTGGACCACCAAGATGCTTGCCTTGCAAAGAGTCTCGATTCTTGTCACTGTTCTGGTCGTGGCGCCGTTCGCCGCTGCCGCTCGCAGTGGCAACGAGCCTTCAAGGGAATGATACCGTCTGTGTGATTACCTCACAGGCGATGGATTGAAACACGTACTTGAATTCAGGGAGACACACGCAGGCAGGCAGAGAGAGGGATGTCAGCACGCAACAAAGCACCACATGGATCGATGGACAGCACAGCATAGCGTAGCATAGCACGGACACAACCACACACAGATACCTTCATGGACAGAGAGGGAGGGAGGGGCGACGGCGGCTGTAAAGTCTCAGGACGGCCCGCCCGCCAACCCACTCACCCACCCAGTACTGCATAGACACACACACACATACACACACACCCATATGCCGTGCTATGCACACGCCACGCATGACGCGCACCATAGTACACACAAACAGTCCCCCACTGCAACGATCACCCACCCACCCACCGGCTCACCCACCCACCCACCTAGACCCATTCAAAATTGCGCAAAAAGCATGCAGCCAGCCAGCCAGCAGCGATGAACGAACAAGCGTATGCATCCTCTCTCCTCGTCTGTTTGAGAAAACGTCCCTACCTCTCCCTGAGTGATAGACAGACAGGCGCGTGTGTGTGTGTGGATGTGTGCGTGTAGAGGAAGCTGGGCAAGAGGTTTGGTCGGTCTTAGTGTACACACGAGACGAGAAGCCAATGAGCCAGAAAACGAAGGAACCGATGGCCAGTGGACAGAAAGACAGACAGAAGACGGAAGGGACAAAAATGCCACACACACGCGCTGTGTTCTCTCGTGTGTGTGGTGTGGTGTGTGGTGTGGTGCCTTGCCTGCCTTGGCTACCTGCTGACTGTGATTTGCACAATCGACTGATGTGACTGGCAGGCAGGCAGGCAGGCCGGCAGGCAGGAACAAGGAAAGAAACCCCCCGTGTGCTCCCCTAAATTACCCACTCACTCACCCAGCCGCCCCATTCCGCCCGGCCCGCAATTGTACAAGGCAAACATGACATCCCCACCCCCCCCATCCCACTGACCAAACCAACCACCAGACCGACCCATACGCACACAACACGACACACACGGAGAGAAAGAGAAAGCCGCACACACCGCACATGGACAGTGGGATGGATAGAGACAGACAGGGAGGGAGGGAGGGAGGAGGCAGCAACGTACACCACACACAGGCAGGCAGGCAGGATGACAGGCAGGCAGTCAGGTACACGCCACACATGACTGACATGACACATCTGACGCATGCATCTATGAGCAGCACCCGCCGGAGGGGTTCACGGGCTTGGCGGGCTGCAGGCGCTGCCCCGCTGGCCGTGGCTGCTGCGCCCCGGCCGCCTGCACCCTAGACTTGATCTCGCCTGCCATGATGTGAAACGCCTGATGACGACAACACACACACACATACAGAGAGAGAGAGAGATGGGCTCTGGGCTGTGAGCCGCGTGTGGATGGATGGATGGATGGAGGGATGGATGGTTGGCGTGGCCGTACTGACTTGTTCGACGTTGTGTGAGTTTTTGGCGGATGTTTCGAGGAACCGGATGCCGAGCTGGTCGGCGAGCTCCTTGCCCTCGTCGTAGGACACCACCTTCTTGCTCGCCAAGTCACACTTGTTGCCGACCTGCACACAGGCGCACGGGCACACACACACACACACGCGCGCGTGGAACGGCACAGAGAGAGATAGTGTGTGTGTGTGGTGTGTAGGCATCGTACCAGGAGTTTGTTGACGTTTTCTGTGGCGTATTTGTCGATCTCTGCGATCCAGTTCTTGACGTTGAGGAAACTCTCCTTGTCCGTCACGTCGTACACTATGATGATGCCTGCGCATACACACACACACACACCAACCAGACACACACAGATGGCCATCATGCTGCACCCTTGTGTCCACATGGTTGAGAGAGCGTCCTCCCTCCCTCTCTCTGCTCACCGTGAGCTCCTCTATAGTAGGATGAGGTGATGGTGCGGAAGCGCTCCTGCCCCGCGGTGTCCCATATCTGGAGCTTGACGGTCTTGCCGTCCAGCTCGATTGTCCTGATCTTGAAATCCACTCCTATCGTCGATATGAAACTGCACACATCACACACAACACAGCAGAGAGTTGGATGGATGGATGGAAGGTGGGCCATGTGTGTGTGGCGGCACCTGTCGGTGTAGGTATCGTCAGCGAATCTCAGAAGGAGACAGGACTTGCCCACACCACTGTCTCCTATCAGCAACAGCTTGAACAGGTAGTCACTGCGCACACACGCAGAAAACATTCCAACACAGAGAGAGAGCAATGGTCAGAGTGCAAGCAGCCGCGCCAAGCACAGCACAGCCAAGCACACACAGCACGACAGCCTCTCTCTCTCCCCTTTAAGCAGACACGAAGCTGCCTGTGTTGCAGACAGGCTCATCTGCTTCTCTCTCCCTCTCCCTCTCCCCGTGTGTGCGTGTGCCTACTATTCAGGATTCATGACGAGCAGCACACAGAGGCCAACACAAGCCCGTTAAGGACCGCCCAGGCCGCACCAATCGCACAGATGCCGAGGTGATCTCCACGTCACGCGGCAATCAGAAGCGACGAAGGGCTCAACGCTGACGACCTGCGCTCTCTGCGGTCACTGCACAGCCGCTTTCTTTCCTCTTTCTCCCCTTTGCCACCCAGCCGATCCACTTACTGCGAGCTAAGCCGAGAAGAGGCAGATCTTTCCTGGCGCGGTTCTGCGGCTGAAAGCGATGCAGCAGCCTTCCAGCAGCCGCTGTAGCAGCAACAGCAACAGCAAGAGCACGCCGATGGTCCCTTGCGTCGCGCGTGTGCCTGTGAGGAACCCGCACACCCTCGCCCGAGCGCTGGGAGACGAGGACGAGATGCTGCCGGTGCTGGAAACCATGGCTGGCGGGGCAAAGATTGACTTCGCCGGGCGAGGTGAGCGAGGGATCAACACGCTTCCAGATCTGGGGTGGCGAGATACGGCATGTGCCTGAATGTGTGGTTTGCTGTGTGTTGTGTGGTGTGTGCAGGCCGTTCTGAGCTTGTGATCAGCGGCGACGGCCACGATCAGGTGGACAAGGCGCGGACCTACCTGCTGTTCCTCCTGGACAACGCAGCTGCCATGCAGTACCAACACCAGAACCAGCACAACAACAACAACCAGCAGCAGCAGAACCAGCTGAGCCACACCCTCCACATCTCCAAGCTCACCGGGTACCTCCGTACGCAGCACCGCAGACACGCGCAGGTGTGATGTGTTTTGCTGACGGTGCAGGCGTGACGACGTCTCGCTCATCCCAGTGCCGAATGACGCCGTCGGGCTGGTCATGGGCAAGCGCGGCGAGACACTCCGGCAGATCAGCAAGAGCCACACCGTCGTGGGGCATTTCGTCAACGTCAAGGGAGCCCGTTCGCGGGACAGACGGGGCCTGGCTGAGCAGCTTGGGGAGCCGGAGATACCTGGGAAGCCGGCGTGTGAGGGTGCTGGTGCTGGTCAGCTGCTGGTCCTGTGGGGACAGCCGTAAGCAGACGGAGGGAGGGTGGGTGTTCGGTTGGGTGCATGGTCTGTTCTATGCGTGTGTGGTGATGCAGTCTCCATCGTCTTGGGGCGGAGTTCCACATCTACAGCATGATCGAGGCAAGGGCACAAACACAGCCACACGCACTCATGCAGCTGTGCGAACACCCCTAACAAGGCATATGCATGTGTGTGTGTCTCAGAAGTGTTTCCCCGGCAAGTACTTCGCCACTGAGTACATCCGCGAGAGCAAGCTGCTGGACCACATCGATGGGCTCGCCGTCGACAAGGTCAGCCCATCAGCACAGCACACCACACCACACCACACCACACGAGAACACTCAGAGGTGTGGGTGTGCGGATGGACGCAGTATGTAGTGCCCGAAGACATCGGCTGTGTGTTGAAGCACCGGGAGCAAGTCGGCAGGGCCGCCCGGTGCGTCATCAACAACATCGGCGATACTATGCTGCTTCTCGCCGGTAGCCCCACACACAAATCCCCCGCCCCCCAGCCGCCTATTGTGGGGGGATTGGGGGGGATGGGGTCTTGCAGGCACCAAGGCTGAGCGGGCCAGAGGGAGGTACTACGCCGACCTGTGCATCCGTGTCATCAGCAACAGCAAGGGAGTGACGGATGAGGACGTCAAGGAGCTGCAGAACAGGTAGGTGGTGAGTGGGGTAGGGCATGATATGATTGCGGCCATCTCGCTCTCTCTCTCTGGTTTGTGTGTGTAGGGATGACGTGAGCATCCTCGAGACGACATCGCCCCCAGCCATGAGCCTCTCGGACATCGAGCAGCTGGACATGGACATATTCTGCATGAACTGGCGGAGGGGGTCAGTCGTCAGCCACACACACACACACACAAATACACCCTCACAGTGACACACACTGTCATCCCTCTCTCTCTCTGTCTCCTCAGTTACTCTCCCCGCTATGTCGTCATTCTCGGCCACGACCCCACCCACCGGCACACAGCCACCTCCCTGCTGCAGCCTGACGCCCCTCTCACCCACACACCCCGACAAGCATCAGCCAGCCCACACGACCACAGCCACAACCAGGCCACCCCGCCCCCAGCTCCCATCATCACCGACCTCACCCCCACACGGGAGGTGGCCGAAAGCATCGAGGTCTACGACACGCACTACCCCTCCCTCTCGGCGGGCGGGTCGCTTGGTACCGCTGTTGGCGGCATTGGCGTGTGGGAGGATGCCCACGCGCATGTCAACGTGACTCTGGGCCCCAGAGGCCACCGCGGGCACCATGGCCAACATGAGCATGAGCATCAGCACGAGGACGGCGGGTGCTGTCTGTTTCCTGGGAGTGACGACGGCCTCTCTCGGGGAGAGGGGGAGTCGGTGAGCGACTACTATGAGGATGATGTTCATGATGGGGCCAACGACCCCTTCGCCACACCCAGCAAACATAGCAGCATCAGCTCCCAGCGAAGCCCACCCAAGGATGGCGACGGCCTGATGGGAGAGGGAAAGGGGGAGATGCAGACGGGGAGAGGGATGGAGGCGGCGCGTCCGCAGCAGACACAGCCGCAGCCACAGCCGCAGCCACAGCCGCAGACACAGACGCCCATACAGGTCCCCAAAACGAAGACACACCCCGGCAAGAACCACAGCAACAACAGCAGCACGAACAAGGCAGACACGCCAACCAACACGTAAACACGCCACACACATTTACACAAGAGAGAGAGCGAGCGGCCAACTCGACACCTATCCCTGTCTGCTGTCTGCCTCTCTGTGTCTGTGTCTGTGCAGGCCTTCCCCGGCCCCCCAGATCATCCAGGCGGCCATCTCGGTGTGCGACGACGTCGACCGTCACGTCCGCGCACTCGCCGACCACACCAACGACCTGCTCTACCGCCTCAACCTGGAGAAGAGCCGGCAGAAGCACCTAGAAGAGCACAACGCCTACCTCGAGAGCACCTGCCCCGACAGGTTCTCCCTACCAGACGCCGGCTTCGGGACGGCCGACGAGGCGTGGGCCTTCATTGACGAGTGCAGTGGGGAGCAGGACAGGCTGAGTGGCGAGCAGAGCCGCCTGCAAAAGGTGCTGAGGCTGGCGCACAAGCGGCTGACACACATAAAGACGATGCAGCAGCAGTAGCAGTGCAACAACAGGCGCCGTGATGCGACAGAGAGAGGGAGGGGGAGGGGGGAGGTCTTTCGTGTGTCATGGGGGGCTTCTTCGTTTGTGTGCTGCCGCATCGTTTTGTTTTGTGCTGTCTTCTAAGGTTGGTCGCCTATGCGTGTCGCGTGTGAGACGGCCTGCTAGAGTGTCAAGCTGCGGTTCGCGGCACACCCACCCCGGCCTGGCCCCACAGCAAGGCGTCGCACACACGACATGGCGCGGGCATCAGACAGGTGGCTCTGTGTTGTGTGCGCATCTTCCTACTGCTGATGATGATCACTATCAGGTTGTCATGAGGTCTGGTGTGTTGGTTGTGGTGAGGTCGGTTGGTCGCTTGTGCGTGTCGTGTGTCGAGGGCTACCTCGTGACGGCAGGCTGTGGCTGTTGGCAAAGCAGCCACAGCCTGGCGTCACGGCAAGGCTGACGACACACGACACGGACAGGCGACGAGAGAGAGGTTTGTGTGTGTGTGTGTGTGTGTGTGGATCGGTGGGTGGTGAATTCATTGACGGATGGATGGATGGATTCTCACATTTAATGCGTCTGGGTGCCGGTGGATTCCCTGTCACCTCTTACTACATCAAACGTCACACATCGGCATCACATCCATACATTCTCTCGTGAATGGATGAGGGTAGGTGTGGGTAGATGGGTACTTCACATATCTCATGACACGCTGTGTCGATGTTGACCCCAAGGGCCTGAATGACATCCTCACACCGACACATATCCACCAGCAGCCTGTGTGTCACAGCATCAAACCGTTCTCACACGCACACGCACACGCAGAAGCGCATAAGGCCCATCTCTCTCAGCTCACATCACCCCAAACACAACAAAATCCGAACCCCTCTCTCTCTTTCTCTCGTCGCCTGTCCGTGTCGCATGTCGTCAGCCTTGCCGTCACGCCACGCCACGGCTGCTTTGCCAACAGCCACAGCACGTCGTGACGGAGATCCAGGTGACACGAGACACGCACAATACCACACACCTCAAAGCATGTCACGTCTGCTGCAGACGTGCATTAGACACAGGTCAATCGTAAGGAATAAAGGACACGCCGACATGCTCAGCCAGCTCACGTCAATCACTCAGGTGGTCTCAGCTGGTCTTGGAAGTCGGGGCCAGCCCCACTGCCGAACTCGGGGATCTTGGGCACCCTGGCGGGCCTTGGCACGATCGGCGGCGGCTTCTCCGTCGGCGGAAGGTCCGCCGGCACCGCGTCGGCCGGCCGGTCCTCACGAGCTGCGGGGCGCCCGTAATACCTGATGGATGGATGGATGGATGGGCACACACATGACTCTATCTATGCTGACCACTTGTAGATGGTCTTGGGCGAGACGCCCCACAGGTAAGCCAGGGCGAAAAACCAGTTGAGAAAAGTCACCTGGCGCACACACAGAGAGACAGACAGACAGACACAAGTACCACTGTGTGCTGGGTGAGGGTAAGATATGCCCACCTTTGGTACGCCGTGCAGGTCCCATCTCCGGGCTGACGTCGTGGCGTCCTCCTTTGTCAAAGCGATGCGGCCCATCTTGCGCAGCCGCTGCACCTGCACAAACCAACAGGGAGGGAGAGAGAGGGGGAGACCAGGAGCTTGACTGCAGAGACAGATGTGTGTGTCGTTTGTGAGGGGGATGGTTACGATCTCAAAGTCCTCCATGATGGGGTGGTCTGTCCGGAAGCCGCCAAGCTGACAGAGAGAGAGACCCACACACAGAGAGAGAGAGAGAGAGATGATGTGTGTGGGTATGCACAGGGACACACACCCGTTGGAATGTGCTGTGAGCCATGAAGAGCCCCTGGTCGCCGTAGGGGAACTGGAACCACTCGCACCGCTTCAAGACACTCCACTCAATCGCACGCAGCAGCCAGCGAGGCGAATCCACCTACCACACACACACACACACAGCAGCAGCACGACACACAGCCCATGGCACAGATGCTGTGAGCTCATGTGTTGGCGATCCGAGGCTTGCCTTGAACCGGAATGCGCCGGCGACATTGAAAGGGTCGGAGAGGAGCGCGTCAACAAGGTCTCTGTCCCAACCCTGCACACACACACACAGAGAGGGGGGGCCCACACACGGGGAGAGAGGGAGAGAGAGGCGTGTGTGTCTCTCCTGACGCACGTGAGCCATGGTGGTGTCGCCGTGGAGGAAGAAGAGAATGTCTGGTGGCGTGTCGAAAGCGTCCACTCCCCTGTTGAACTGCTCGGCCCTCGACCGGCGGCCCCAGACGTACCTCACGCGCTTAGGGTGGTCGCGCACTAGCTGCTTGACCTTCTCGTACGTGCCGTCGGTGCTGCCAGCATCTGCACACACGCGCATTCGGGGCGTTTTCTCTGACCGATAATCTCTCTGCGTGTGTGTGTGTGTGTGTGAGTGAGAGGGAGAGGTTTGGGATGCTGGCTGACCTGAGACGACCACTTGAATGTTGTGTGCGGTGGGCGATGAGGCGCGGTAGAGCAGCGTGTGGATGGTGGTCGCGATGGTCGCCGCCTCGTTGAGCGTCGGGATCACTACACCTGCACAAAACACACGCAGCACAACACACCACAACACATAGACAGATGTCAGTGTGTGTGTGTAGTTTCTCTTGTCTGACCTACCGATGCTGCACGTCCTCTCTCTGATAGCCCGCGACGGCACACGACCTGCACGTGCACGAGCCTGCCAACAAACCACCACACACACACACACAAACACACACACACACAGACACTTATACACACGTGCAGCCCCCTTTTTTGTTCTTTTCCCGGCATTGCTGACCTTTTCCAAGACGGGCAGGTCGCTAGGTGTGTCTATGTCGCTGAGTGTGGGCAGCTTGTGGACCTTGAAGCCGGCATCCTTGGCGCGCTGGAGGGCCTGCGAGAGCACCTTGCTCGTCGACCAGTCAATGTCCTGGAACAGGGCGTCACACCGCTCCGACAGACCTGCACACACACACACACACACACACAGAGATCCATCCATCCATCTGGTCTGGCATCGCCGGCCATTGTGCGCAGTGCAGTGTGTGTGTCGTCAGGTCAGACGGGCGCTCACCGATGAGGTAGTATCCGCCATCGGTCGCCGGGCCCACCACGACGGTCTTGTCCTTCTTCAGGTGGTCGAAGGCCTCTCGCAGCAGATCGACAGAGAGATCCGGGCAGTCCGTCCCAACAGACACCACCCTCTGTCTGCCCTCACCAAAGGCCCGCACGAACGCCTGGCGCAGTTTCTGGCCGAGATCGCCGTCAGGCTGCGGCTCGAGGCGAAATGCCAGCTGCTGCTCTTCTTTCCTCTGCTTCTGGGCGGGGGATAATGGCTTCTTCTCTGTCGCTTCTTTCCCCTCTTTGTCTTTGTCCTTGTCTGTGTCTGTGTCTTTGTCGGTGCCGAGGGCCTTGTGGACGAGGGGCATGAGGGCGTCCTTGATGGGGACGGCGGGGAGCGTGAAGCCGCTGAAGATGTTGCGCCGCTCGTCGTAGAAGTCCTGGGCCGCCTCAAGCCGATCCTCCCATTTCGCCGCCACCTCGTGCTTGTCCTTTTTCCCACCAGCATCACCACCACCAGCACCACCACCAGCACCAGCACCAGCAGCGGCAGCGGCAGACACAGAGGGGTCGATCAGCGCCCGTTTCAGCCACCGCCTGAATTTGATTTTGCTCTCGCCCACCAGGAAGATCTCCACATCAGGCACACCGTCAGATGAAGAGCTAGAGGCCTTCCTGCGGTCAAGTTGGAAGGCCCTGCCCAGCCGAAATGTGTCCTCCGCCATCTCCTTGTGCGCCAGGGCGGCTCCCCCCGGCCCCAAGGCGGGCGCCAGCCGGGTCTTGGAGAAGCCGGGGCGAGGGTACTTACAAAAGATGATCAGCCGCTCTTTAGCAGAAGAAGCGAACGGGAAGATGCTGCTTGTCGTGCTGGTCGGGGTGCTGGTGCTGCTGGTGCTGTCTTGGGGGCTCTCACATCTGGCTGCTGATGAACAGGATTGCCGCTGCCTCGTGTGCATGAGCAGCAGGTGCTGGAAGTGCTTTGACGCCACACAGCCGGCCACCACGCCGCCCGCAAGGATCGCTGCCGTCAAGGGAAGCGCAGATCTGCCAGATCTGCCGCTCCTGGCCATCGCCATCGCGCAGCTCTGCAGCCCCGGGAAGCGGACGGATGAGTGGGCGTCAAGCGATGACGCCCATCGGCTGAATGCGCGTGACGGCATTACACGCTGGGCCTCTCAACCTCCAAATCTCTCTCTTTTTTCCCCCGCGGCATCCTTTCCTCACAGGCGATTTGAGCTCGCAAGACTCGAAGAAAACAGAAGAGGAGAAAACACCTCGGCGCGGGAGCAGGGGTGTGTGAGGCTGACATGAGGTTGTCAGCATAGCGTTTGACCTTGGTCGTTTTCACCCCGTCTGTCGGTCTGTCGGCAGAATAACCGGCAGCAGTGGGGTGCGGACGGTGCTCTCAGCAGCAGCGGTCTTGTTGGCGACCGGCAGGGCTGTTGCTCTTGGCGGGATCGTGCTGATGGAGAGCCAGGCGGCGTCGGCGGCATCAGTATCGGCAGCTGCGGCCCGTTCCGCGTCGAACCTGTCGATGTCGGGCGCTCTGTCCGGTTCGTCCTTCCTCCCCCCGCCCCGCAACCCCAGTGCCTACCCCGTCAAAGCCTCTTTCCACCACCACGCTCTCTACAATCCCGCTGTGCAGCAGGGCCTCCGACTGCTCGAACCCTCAATCTCGGTCGGGGTCAAGCGTGCCCATCATGGCGGCGGCGGCGGCGGCGGCGAGCCTGACAGCGAGTTTGGCAAACCCTCTTCGCCGCACCAGTCGACGCTCAGCCTGGCGTCGACGAGGGCGTCGTACGGAGGCGGCTATGGGGGGGAGGTTGCGGGTGGGGCCAAGGGGATGCATCTGGAGCAGCAGCAGCCGCTGCTGGTGGTGGCGGGGCCGTCTGGGGTGGGCAAGGGGACGTTGGTGGCCAAGCTGAGGGAGAAGTACCCCAAGGCCTTCGGCTTCTCGGTCAGCCACACCAGCAGGCCGCCCAGGACTGGTGAGCATGCGCAACACACCACCACACACACGCGCACACAGACAGACAGATTGACAGGTGGAAGGAGGTGTTGGGCACGGCGCTTGTGTGTGTGCAGGTGAGGAGCATGGTGTGCATTATCTGTTTGAGACCAAGGAGAGGATTTTGAAGGCCGTCAAGGAGGGCCGGTTCCTGGAGCACGCCGAAGTGCACGGCAACGTCTACGGCACCTCCATCGAGGCCGTCGAGCGCGTCAGGTGCAAGGGCAAGGTCTGCATCGTCGAGATCGACGTCCAGGGCGTCAAGCAGGTCCGGCCGTTGCCCTTTCCCACTCTCTCACACACGCCCATTTCTCCCTGTGTGTCTGTGTGTGAGTCTTGCAGGTGAAGAATAGCGCCTTGGCCAGCCAGGCCCACTATGTCTTCATCCGGCCCCCCTCCCTCTCGGTGCTCGAGACGCGCTTGCGCGGCCGCGGCACCGAGAGTGAGGACAAAGTCAAGAAGCGCCTCACCAACGCTATCAAGGAGATCGAGGAGGCCGACAAGGTCGGCTTCGACTACAACCTCGTCAACGACGACCTCGAGGCCGCCTTTGCCACCCTCTGTGAGCTCGTGGAGATGTGGTACCCCGGGCTCGCCACGATAAGCTGCGTGCCCACGCCGTCACACGCGGCACACAGCGCCGCCGCACAGAAGGCTTCCACCACCCCACCAGGCCCAGGCCAAGGGGGCGAGCTGGACTCGCCGTCGATGACGACGCAGGATGGCGACTCGTCGCCCGAGATGCAGCCACAGCAGCAGCCTGTCGTCAAGACCAGCAAGTCGAAGGAGCTGGGGATACAATGAGTGAGTGGGGGTGGGGGGGGGGCTTGGGTTGATTTTTCTCTCTCTGCGTGGCTGAGTGTGGTCTGCGGAGAGGAGACTGAGAGGGAGGGAGGGAGGGAGGGGTCGCATTCCTTTTATAGGGATGTGTGTGGTGTGGTGTAGTGTGGTGTGGTGTGGTGTGGGGGGATGCATCAGGGCGGTGCCACCAACACACACCTGCTTACGTCGTGCAGGGGAGAGAGAGAGAGAGGGGCGTGGCGTGTTTGTGTGTGTGAGTATGCGCCGCGCCCTATGACTGTCTTTCTGCCCTATGACTGTCTTTCTTTCTGCCTGCCTGCCTGCCTGTCCACGTGCCTGCCTGCGAAGAATATTCACACGTACGTCGTAAGTAAGTCTGTAAAAAGACTACTGGAGGGAGGGAGGGAGGGCGTGAATCGGCCCCCCTCCCTCCCCTCCCCTCCCCTCCCCGCTTTGTCCGTACGCCCCGCCCCGCCATGCCCTGCCCCCTTTCTGCGGACCTACTTCTCTGGATGGATGGATGGCCGACTGAATGGCTACATGGGTTTTTTTTTTTGGTGCCACATGGTTTGGAGTGATTTTGGTTTTCCTGTGTCCGTCTGTCTGTCTGTCTGTCGAGTCGAAGCGAATGTGCGGTGCCTGCCTGTTTTCCTGCCTGCCTGCCTGCCTGCCTGGCTGTGTGTGTATGCAACCGTTTTGGATGGATGGATGGATGGGTGGAGTCGACTCGTTTCTGTCCGTCTGGCTGTGTGTCGTTTTCCCGATGGCGTCGTGTCGATGGCTGGCGTTTAAGCGAACCAGGGAGAGGGAGAGAGAGAGACTCGTGGATACCTATTGACCGTTCTGCATCTGATTTTGCTTTTGCTTTTGCTCTTCATGTGGCGTCGTATTCTCATTCTCCTTTCGGTTTTGTCAACCGCCTTCTCCACCCTTCCCCCCCCCACACACACCCCGCAGAGAGGGAGAGAGCGGGCAACTGTTTTCTAATGCCAAGGGCGTCGAACAGACAGACTACTTGCTCTTCTTCTGCGAGGAATGGCTGCCGACCTGACACAGACCAGAGAGACCTCTGTGTGCGCCCCATACAACACGCACTGGCGCACTGGTGAAGGGCAGCACACGTGTGTGCGTGTGTGTGGGTGTTTTCCAACTGGCTACTATAAGTGGCTCATTCAGCCATAGGTATGCTCGAATGAAAGGAGGGGTGGGTGGGTGGGTGTGCCTGTGGTTCTGCTGGTGTTTGGATGTGCGAAATGTACAGATTGCTGCTGGCTGCTGTTTCTGGTGCTACTGCAGACAGAGAGGGTGACACTAAAACTCATGGCTGTGTGTGGGGTGTGTGAGCGTGGGGGG